GGATGGCTCACACTGTTGTCTGTCACACTATAACATCAGTATGCATATTCCCCTGACTGTTTCTCATACAATTTCTGAGATGCTGAAGAGGAGAATTTGTTTAACAATCAAGAGCTTCTTTACTTGGTGATCATTTCCTTTATTCTCATGACCTTTATGCTTGATTCAGGGGTGATATTGTGAGGAGAAATTTGATGCTAGCTACACTTGGTGGTCTAATGGTTAATTCTTCTGTTAACAGGAAAAAAAACAATGTTTGTTAACATGAAATTTTTCTGTAATATGCATCATTAGAGTCTTTTTGTCAAATTTTTTCATACAGCATGGAATCTTTTTCCCTGCTCCATAATATGCAACAACCTATCAACTTTTGTTGTTTCGTTTTGCAGATGTGTATTGATGTTGAAAAAAGCACAATTTATGTGTTTGGTGGTCGTGTACTCACAAGGTAGGAAAAAAAGGAGAAGAAATCATTATATATTAAGAGGTTTACTGCAGAAAAGGCTGAACGGATTTGTTTGTTCTTCCTTCACATTTTTATCCACAGAGCTAAAAGTAGTGGTTTCTTTTTTAGCTCAAGTGGAGACGAGAGAGCACAGGAAACCCTATTTAGCGGACTGTACTCGTACAACTGTCAAACAAATACCTGGAATAAACTCAAGTAAGCTGGAGTTTGAAAATGTTTTTAGAATTAGCCTGTTCCTGGCATTCAGTTTGGAAAACGGAGTGAAATAGTAGACGGATAGATGACGGAAAAAGTGAAAAAGCGGCGGAGGTTTGGGTCGACTTGCGTAGAGGACTTAACGCGAGCCGACCCAAACCTCTCTTGTCTTTTCAGTCCGCCGCTCTCATAGCGCTGTTTAATATTGCGCTTCAATTTACTAACTGAACGCCTGAAACAGGCGATGATAAGATAGGGATAATAGCACTGCATACTGTGAAATTCTGTTACTTGGGAAGTTGCTCAACAAATTCGTATTATCGTATCGATACAACATGCAAATGTGACGCTTCAGAGATCTCACATTTTAATGGTGCAATTTTGACTTAAACAGTAGCTGGACTGATTTTGTCTCTGTTGTTTTTTGTAGGGACGACTGTCCTGAGCTGCGATCAAGGATAGGACACTCAATGTTATTTCATCCAGTAAGTCAGGAAAAACAATCGTGTAACTTTCAAATATTTAATTATGAATATTATTGTCCTCAGAAAAGCACTCTCAAGGAAAGAGTGAGGTAAACTTTATTTAGCCGTGCATTGTTCTCCTTTTCAGGCAGTAACCGGTAACATTTACCACCTGTAGTGCCTCTTATTACCGTTTAAAATTGCTTGGAATTCTTTAAAATTCAACGGGTTGCTTTACCGGTTTTAAAATTTATTTTACTTGTCATGCTTAAAATAAGGGAGAACACTGGCCGTGGTGGCCTATTCAGCTGCATGGCTGTTATCCAGAGGGGCCCTGGTACCAAGCATGACGGAGTTATCCATGGAAACCCCTAAATAGGCACTATTTTTTAAGCAAAGTTGACCTACATGGCCCTTACACTGAAAGAAATATAACAAAACCTTGATTTATTGTAGCTGGGAGAATGAGCCATCAAACTGTAATGTCCACTTGTTTAATTAAGTGCTTGGCGAATAACGCTCATCAGCGAATTTCTCAATGTCAGTTTCTCTTTTTTTGCAACTCTTCTTCACGCAGGAGAAAAGACTTCTATATATTTTCGCTGGACAAAGAGGAAGAGAATTTTTAAGGTACTATATGCAGTGATGTTGAAGTGAATTTCATCTGATGACCAAATTAATTAAAGCATGCAAAACTTTTTTCATTCTGAGTAATTTTAGGACCTTTTTTCCTATCCTTCAGTGACTTTATAACGTACAATGTGGACACCCATGAAATATCATTTATATACGATGGAAGCAAAAAAGAATCGGATCAAGGTATCACTGCATTTCTTTTTTACAATTACTATAGTAGCCGTTGTTGATTTAATGATATTTATGAGTTTTGTTTAAGTACCCTTCTGTTTCTTTATTTACAGTTCCTGCAGCAGGTTTTACTCAGAGAGCAACAATTGATCCTGGACTTAACGAAATTCACGTATTATCTGTAAGTAGATCTCTCTTGAGCCTGCAGTTCTTTACGTCACCGTCTCTCTTGTTACGTAAAAGTTGAGAGCGGGAAAGCATGAGTCTGCAAGGGGCTTGGCACTTATTAGTGCCAAACCCTTAGCAAACCTCTCCACAACTAAAAA